GTCTGTACCCGCGATGCACGATGGTACGATGGTGAAAACGCGATAGCACGATGGTACGATGGTGAAAACACGATGGTACGATGGTGAAATCACGATGGTACGATGGTGAAAACGCAATGGTACGATGGTGAAAATGCGATGGTACGAAGGTGAAAGCGCGATGGTACGCTGGTGAAAGCGCGATCGTAAGATGGTGAAAACGCGATGGCCCGATGGTGAAAACGCGATGGTAAGATGGTGAAATCACGATGGTACGATGGTGAAAACGCAATGGTACGATGGTGAAAACGCGATGGTGCGATGGTGAAAACACGATGGTACGATGGTGAAATCACGATGGTACGATGGTGAAATCACGATGGTACGATGGTGAAAACACGATGGTACGATGGTGAAAACACGATGGTACGATAATGAAAACGCGATGGTACGATGGTGAAAATGCGATGGTACGGTGGTGAAAACGCGATGGCACGATGGTGAAAATGCGATGGCACGATGGTGAAAACGCGATGGTACGATGGTAAAAACACGATGGTACGATGGTGAAATCACGATGGTACGATGGTGAAATCACGATGGTACGATGGTGAAAACGCGATGGTACGATGATGAAAACGCGAAACGCGATGTATCATCGCGTTTTCACCATCATACTTTCGCGCCATCGCGGTAACTGACTAAATCAAAAATCACGACTGTCCAAACGGAACACCGTAGAAATCAGTACCGATTTTATATTATAATGGAGTTATACGACAGGGCAGGAATTTAAATAGGCGACTTTTTGTGTAGGCTTTCAATTACCATAATTTCAAAACTGTACCGTTACACTCAAACGAGTACGAATTAGTTCAACATTTCTTAATAGTACACCTTTGAAAAAAAAATCAACATAACACAGAGTTTAAATAGATTAAGCGGGAGTATTTTTAAGCCGTCGAAACGGAAATAATTAGCCGCGAACATCTAAAAAATTTGAATATATATATATGTATATATACTTGGGTTAAAAAATAGCAAAACAATTACATTGTACGTGATAATATCAACTGAAAGGAAAGTAACACAATTGTACAATGCATTTGACTTTGCTATTTTTATAAAGTTTTTTCGTAACGATCAATTTCAAGAACATTACCGTACTTAGCTTTGTCACTTTTCCACATTGCGCTTTAAAATACTACCCCGCCACCTGTTCTCCATGACAACCCCTACTACTTAATGTGGCTTCTTCCATATTTTGGTAATCTGTTTAAAATGAGAGCCCATGACCAAAACAAAGCTGCAACGGGCAAACAAAGTTTCTAAATATACCCAATTTAAAGAAATGCTGGTTTTCTTTTTTCAAAAATATCAACTGCCTCACTGTCTGGATTCCAGCTTTGCTTACTATTGCTGTAATTTGCAAACCTACATGTATCTAGTGTGAACATGCATACCACACTTTGAATTGTGAAAGGAAAAAACAAATCAGATATACACCCTAATCGTCAACATCTAAAATTCTAGACTTTTTCATCTTTACGTGGTATCTGCGATACTGTAAGAATTATTCTATTTGCAACAGAAAAATGGAATATTGAGAGTGCTAGAGATTTTTTAACTCTTGCTTTCAACTTCCTGACTGAAGTTTTGCTGTCTGCCGACCACTGTACTTGCTTATCAAATAAGAATGTTGACAAAGAATTAATTCCCCACTCAATACATCAAGAAATTTTGATAATCATATTGGTCTCAATTTTTTAACAAAAAATCTAATTCCCCGATTGAAAAAACTGAATCCCAGCTATGATTTTCATTGATTTTTTTTTCATTGATAAATCTAGTCATTTAAATGTCCTTACAAAAAACAAAACGGTAAGTAACTCTGTTGGGCATAATTATATATTCCTCAATTTTGTAATTTCCTGTTTGAGATTATCTACCCTCTTCTGACTAACCATAGGGTCCAGACTGATTAAAAACCGATTTGCTCAGGGAAATTTTTTTGAGGAATTAACTAAACAACCATCGTCTAAATATACACTTACTTTAAATCCATGTGTTCCTCTGTGCGCAAAACTTTTGTGAAAATGAAATCTGCTGAAAATGTAAAAACGGTTTTCAAAAAAAATGGTTTTGGTTTTGTCTTTTATTGAAAATCCCAAAAATATTTGTTGCTCTGTCGATATATCTTTATTACGGGGAAGCAACTGTTACACGAAGGATGGAGTTCTTATGATAACTTTTCAGGAGTTCTTGAGATAACTTTCACGGAGTTCATCGGAAAACAATTCAATTCAATATATTTATGCATAAAACATGTAACATATTTATAGCAAACAATACATAAAATACAATGGAATGTATGGGCTTTACTTTTGTTTATACAATAGTAATTGCCAAAGGTTTTCTGATGAGCTAAGAACATAGATGAATGTATGTTAGTTTCTCAGTAGATTAGCAATATATATAAATTTACATAGATTCTGAACAGTTTTCCGGTTCGTTTCACTTAGCAAGGTTTTTGAATTTTTGTAAGGTAGGCCATGTATGATAATAACTTTTTAAATATTTTCTACGTACATGTAGTTCTCTAAATTTTTGACATATAAGTAAAAAATGATATTCATTTTCAATCACATTAGAATTACAATTTTAACAAATTCATTCCGTCCTAGGAATATTTATGTAGCGCCTGCGTTATAGCTATCGCCAAATCATGTTAAGATATACGAAATTTCGTTAAAGATATCCTGAATGTTCCTTCATGTATAGAGTCGAGATACCTTTCTAATTTACATTCATGTTAAAATAAACATTAAGTTCCGAGACGAGGAGTGTTATTTATCGATGAGCACCATTGATGATAATACACATCTAATATCCGTTGCTTAATCATATTTACGTTAATTTGAATCTTAAATTGGCTTTGCCATAAATACATTAAACCGTGATTATAAAGTATTTCTTTAATCTGACTAGCCCAGTTATTTCCATTATATGTATTTCCTAATTCAGCATCCCTCATCAACATATTATAAGCTTTGAATAGTATTAATTAGTTATCTAAAGTAATTAATTTAACCCAGCTGTATTTATCAATATACATGTACATTCATATTGGCGTCCTTCCAAATTATCCGCATAGAGCATCCGCGGAGCGTTTTACGGACTCTGGCGGTATTTATAAAATTATTGGAAATTCTATGAAAGTTTAAGACTAAATGCATCAATCAAGATTTTTTAAGTCGATATCTAGACTATAAAGATATTGCGTGCACGTAAAATATTGCGTGGGAGTTATCAACAAAACAAGAACCCGTGTCCGTTACCCAAACCATTTTGGAAAAGAAAATGACCAGTCAACATTTAACATGCCAAATATTTACTTTACAGTACATATTTTCAAATAAAGAAATTCTATTTGCTTACCCGACATTGCTTCATCAATTTCTTACAAAATACAAATTTTGCGTGAATGTTACCCGCAATTTAAAATTCTGGTTTAATTTGTTTAGTGTTTGTAAAAACTATATAAGCACAGGAATATAAATTAAGGTACAGGCGACAACATTTCTTTATTCAGCGTAGGCTGCAGCTATGGAGAGCCGCCTACTCACCATGGCGTCTGCATCCTTGTTCAAATTAAAGTTTTGATGCAAAAATGCCAAAATAAATGGATTTATTACATGTTTTTCGGTGGTTTCTAGAAATATATCAGTGATTTAAAACTGGTAATTTCACTGTTTGAAACAGTGAAATTACCACTTTGATAACTTCATTGTGTTTGAATTTAAGCCCCTTACGTTGTTTCAGTGCAATACCAGCGTGCACAGTACTGGGTACCAACTTAATGACCTGACGTCGTAAATGGCGTCACGTTGTATTATTATTTGGCGCGCTTTTCATTCAATATTAGGTTTAATGTCTTTTTAAAACGTTTCTTTTCATATAATAAAAAGAAAATTTGTTTAGTTTAGTGTAAGATCGGAATATATTTCACCTTGTGAACACCAAAAGTTCATATTTCACTTGTGGCTGCACCACTCGTGAAATATACCTTTTGGTGCTCACTCGGTGAAATACATTGTATATTCCGATCTTACACTGAACTAAACAAATATCCAGCTAGCTATTTATTACATGCTTTTCAGTGGTTTATAGAAATATATTAGTGATATAAAAACTGGTTATTTCACTGTTTGAAACAGTGAAATTACCACTTTGATAATTTCACTGTTTTGAATTTAAGCCCCTTACGTTTTTTTCAGTGAAATACCAGCGTTCACAGTACTGCATGGGTACCAACTAAATGACGTGACGTCGTAAATGACGTACGTTACGTTGTATTATTATTTGGCGCGCTTTTCATTCAGTATTAGGTTTAATGTCTTTTTTTTAAAACGTTTCTTTGCATATAATATGCGCCACTCGTGAAATATACCTTTTGGTGCATATATTCCGATCTTACACTGAGCTGAACTAAACAAATATCCTCTAAATAACGTTCATCAAAGACCTCCTTGAAATATTGTTATACGATCTAGCAATTATATTATTCTCTAAACCACTGCGCATATTAACACAAGTCTTATTGCATAAAAATTTATTAATGATAAAATTAAATTTCTTTTGACTTAAAATTTCTTATTTTATTGACCTCAAATTAACATGGAAATGCATAATATAATAGCATCTCTAAATGGTGAAAATCCAGGAACTTCCAGGGGCTTCGCCTCTGATCCCCTGGACTACCAGGGCTCTGCCCTTGACACGCAAGGCGGGGGGCTATAGCGGCCCTCTTAACTCCCGCGAAACTGTGCGTAACACAAATTTCGGCCTATCTACGCCCCTGGAGATATCAGTTACTTCAAAAAGAAATCCATTGTTTTTTTTTTAAATATACCCGAAATCGTTATCTACATTTATAAAGTTATCTGACCGATGTTTTGTTTTAAAAGAGACTTGTAATACTTTAAATATAAATATATAAAATATTTAAATAACCTGAAAGTGTGTTTTGAGTCGAATTGACTTGAGATCGAAATGAAAAAGGATAACAACCGAGGTATTCCAATTGTTTATACCAACACGTCAACTTTCAGTTTTGGTTCATAATGTGGGACATTTTGAGAGATAATGCGACAGTTTTGACAACTGATATTCAAGAGTAAGTCGCTTAGGTTATAATTCTTACTTGTTTTAAAAGCAGCATTATTTTATTTATATAAAAGATATAAAAAGTTATAGATATGTAGGTATGTATGATAATTACCTGACATATGAAGCTTTATAAAAAATGATTTTAACAGTCGTTTTACAAATAAGAAATTTACAAGAAAGTTAGAAACATCCGCTTATAAGCTATTTACTGACAATTATCTATCTATCTATCTCTGAATACTGCCAACCCCTCTCGCGAGTGTTATAGGCAGGAAATTGTGCGCGTCGGTGTGTTAGTAAAAGGTGTGAGAGAAAGTAAAAAAACCTGAAAAATGAACATGATCAGGACAGTGAGAGACATTGAAAACTTCTAGTCATTGTTAAAATATTTTTGTTAGTAAGGGTGAAAGAAAGTAAAAACACAACAAGTCAACTAATACTGTATCTTAACCACTGCCTGTTTGTATTGATCTAGATCAGGCAGGGTGACAATGTTCCTTGGGAGCTGGTTCCAAAGTGTGATACAGTGGGGAAGAAGGAGAACTTATGGTAGTCTGATGTAACCTGTATTTTCCTAAGAGAGAGGGGATGCATATGTCTAGTAAGCCTAGATGGAGTTTTAATGTAGGTGGGAAGGCTAATGGCTACTAGGTTATTGGTAAATTTTAAAAAACATAATAAGTCTAAAGTCTAGTCTTGCGATGCTCGAGAGAACGCCAGCCAAGATCTTTCTGCATGGCTGTAAACTGATGACAAAGGGGAGTAATCTTGTTTTACCCAGCGTATCGCTCGTCTTTGGACTTTCTCTATTTTTTGGATGTTTGATTGTGTGTAGGGGCTCCAAACAGTTGATGCGTATTCTAACTGGGGTCTTACTAGGGATTTATAAGCTAGTTGTTTTACTTTTTCATTTTTTGTATTGATATTTCGTTTTATGAATCCTAGGGTTTTGTTTGCATTTGATGTAATTCTTGAGATATGTGTGTTGTAGTTCAGGTCTGTGGACAAGTCAAGGCCAAGGTATTTTGAGCTAGGAACTGATGTTAAAGCTTGGCCATGAAGGAAGTACTTGTTGTTGATGACTTTTTTGTTTTTAGTGATGTGAAGGACTTGACATTTTGAGGGGTTGAATTCCATGTCCCACTCCCTTTCCCATATTTGCATCTTATCATTAATTAGATACATAAAACATAATTACTTACATGTAACAATTTACAAATCTGAAAACGACAATTATTCACTATTCACTGTTATTGGTAATGCATGCATGGTTGGACCAATGCTCGGTGTAAAAAATATTTCTTTAGAATATCTGAAAATGTTTCAAGTTATCACAGATTTAGGTCACTGGTGCTTTTATTTACTCTTTCACCATTGTATCCTGGATTGACACGTTTTCGATACGACAAGATATTTTGGGCAATTTTCTTTAGTAAAATACAGTGGGGGGAAAATCCTGGGATCCTAGCCTAATTAATTTGGCGTGAACGGTTTGACCCATTTTACAGACTTTTCTTTCTTACTGTCAAACCGTTACAGTACGCCTAATTTTAACTGTCATTTTTACGCACGGAAAATCTACCGGTAACACTATCGATAGTTTGGACTGATTTTTACATCTTAAACCTGAAAGTAACTTCAATTACCCCTAAAGATCAATAGAATATAAATTTTAGTACTAACTTCTCCTAGAAAAAATATTAGATTGTACCTGTCTTAACGCATACATGCGATTTATTTCAAATTTGTACTGTCTACTCTATCTTCGGCGGACATGTTATGACGTCATCGTAAAAAACGATTCCGTGAAAGCTGGTAGTAGCTACCAGTGTGTCTAGCAGGTAAGTGTGGGTTACGCATGAAGATTAAATTAAACAAAATATCGGGGAAATAAATCTATTCATTATTTTTTAATAAATGTGTGCATTATTAAATACTATTGAAAAGTATCATTGTATTTAACCTAAAATGCAATGGTCGCAAAATAGGCTCCGTACAAGTACTGTTGTTTAATATTTTTTTAAATATTTTAATACATGTACTCAACATTTATCAATTGGTGGTTTGCCTTCTTGTTTACTGCTAATGACTGCCAAATGTCACCCTCGGATAAAATACTGACTTCATTTATACATGCATATTTATATGACAATTAAGAACGTAAAAGAAATATTGAAGGAAACTATTTGAAATACACTTCAAATTATTCAGTATTTGTACAAATAATATTTCAAGAGCTCTTTTTCACCGATTGCCGATATATAATACCATATTAAACCTATTGATAAAGTTAATGTCTTCTTGACATTCTTTATTAATTTACTAAAAAGGAACTTTATTGTGATCCAGCCATATGCTGTGTAACTATAAAGGAATTTAGGGTCACATATTTTAATTGAAATAAATTTTAAGTAGAGGATATTAAAAAAAAGTCATTAAGAAGATCAGAATTTTCAAATGAACAGATTAAGAGACTTATAAATGTATTAGGTGTATGTCTTGTTGTTTCATACTGTTTTGGTGACACTTTTGTTTGTGTCCCTTGTTGTTTTCTCATCTTTGGTAAGTATCTTCCCTTTGCCCCTAGTTTTATTTCTTTATTTCGCCCCCTCCCCGAATTTCCTATCCCCTTCCCCTGTGCTCGTTAACTTAGTGGTCCTATTAATCATTCATTTATTTATTTTCTTTGATTTCCTTCTCAGTTACATTTTAGTGATAAGCCTGACCGTGCTCTCCCTTGCGCCCTGTCCCGTTTTAATTTAGGATCCTCCTGGGCTCCTTGCCAATGGTTCATATTCCTGGGTCGTGTGGGGGTTGCGTTCATTGAACGCCGCCTTTCCTTGTTCATCTTGTTTATCATATTGTATACATGTATACCGAACCGTAACAAACAGATAATGATTATCAATACAAGGTTCGGCAAGCAAGCAAAGAAATGTAAAGAAACAGAAAAAACTTATCCACATTCATGTATCCACCCTCCAAAAAAAAACCCACCAAAAACGCCTGAAACTGCAAAATCGAAACATAAATACACAGGAGTGCCAAAGACGGCTCTGGTAGGTGCAAGTGCTCCCTTTCGCCGGTTTAAACAGAATTGATCACTTAAACATAATAATGTTGAAATTTTTAATCAACATCCACAGATGTGTACATAATACGGCGGTAATCATGGAACTTTCAATGTGACACATTCGAGGTGCCGTTCAACGGGAACTAGATAACATGGAATTTTTAATGGGTATCAGAGGTTTTGGTGTCCTTTTGCGACAGTCGTTCTAACATTTCTCCCATCTGTCTTACATTGTTATGCTATTCAACGTCTAAATAACGGTCACTAAATTTCCGCTTGCTGCGTTTTTATCATTAGCCCCGTCAAATCTGTGCGACAATTGTATTTTACTGAGGACTGTCTGAAATTCCATTTTATAGTTTGAAATTTTAAGATTTTTTTTTTAGAATTTTAAAGTTATTTTTGGTTGTTTTGAACTTCTTCCCCTACAAAACCGTCCTCAATTTCTTTTAAAGATAATAAACTAGAAATTGATATGGAGTGTAATATAAATTGAAATTCTTCTTTGCTTCATCATGCATAGTATAATTATAATTCATTAAGCTGTACCTACAATTACATTGTATTTTCGTATGTGGGAACTCATGGCAGGGTTATAAAATGAAAAGGTAGTTCAGAAATTTCACCTAATGATCACAGATGTTAAAAAATCCAACTAAATAATATCTAATTTGACAATTTAAACAGACTTAAATGCAGTTATTGTGACATCGGACATCATAAACTATTTAATTTCTAAGTAAGGTTATCAGAATTTCCTTTTCACATTCTCTTTTTAATGCTGAAATATTTGTGTGTGAATAAAAGAGTTATTCCTGCAATAATTCAAATAAATAACATAAACAAATTGTATAATAAAGCTTGGCAAATACAATCGATTGCCGCCGATACCTGTGTTACACCATGGATTTTACAATTTTACCATGACACCGCTTTCCAATATGGCCGCTTTCAATAATTTTCAACGATTAAAAAATTAAAGTGGAATATTTAGACTTCTGTTCGACTTTGAAGTATGATAATTTGGAACCTTGCATAAAAAACGATTCTCTTTCAGGTAATGTAGACAGTTTCTTTGAAACTTTTCTAGTTTTCGCTCCCAACAACTTCTAATTGGGAAGCGTCCGTGCATAAAAATGCAGTTCGTGGTTGGACTTGGAAAAAGACAGCGCCTGTACAAAATTTTCTCGGTGTCTCTTTGACAAGTCTAATTAGTTGGACTACTGGGATCCGAGATGCCCGGAATCCGGGATCGTATAAGATATAGAAGGAAAACTAATAAATTATATTTATGTTGATTATTGTCGTAATGAAAGGCGATTAATCTTAAGTTTTTATTTTTTTATTGTATGTAATGAACGTTAAATTAATTTAACTTAGGATATAAATATATTTAGAGCTATTTATTAACAAACTTAAAATGCGAAAATCACAATACTTATAATTACTTGCCTAATTAATTGGAACAATTAAAGACTTTATTCTTGAATTGGTCAAATCCCGGGATCCCAATATGTTTTAATACAATCCCAGCTTTTCTGAAAACTATATTCTTGAACTGGCCAATTCCTGCGATCTCTATAATAAATTTATATCTTAATACGATCCAAGCTTCTCTGAAAACTATATTCTTGAACTGGTCAATTCCCAGGATCCCTATATGTTTTAATACGATCCCGGCTTTTCTGAAAACTATATTCTTGAACTGGTCAATTCCTGCGATCTCTATATATTTTAATACGATCCAAGCTTCTCTGAAAACTACATTCTTGAACTGGTCAATTCCCAGGATCCCTATATGTTTTAATACGATCCCAGCTTTTCTGAAAACTATATTCTTGAACTGGTCAATTCCAGGGATCCCCATATGTTTTAATACGATCCCCGCTTATCTGAAAAATATCTTCTTATTTTTTAATACGATCCCGGCTTTTCTGGCTGAATTGATTGAAAACTTGTGTATACTTTTTCTTATTGCATATTAGCACTCTTGATGCCCAATATACAACGACTTCCATTGCCATTACATGTACTTACAATTTACAATATTAAATAAGATTTTGTGTGCGTGTGACTTTCTGAGGTCAATTAATTAACGCTTTTCGTCTGTGAAAAAAATACGTTATTTTTAAAGATTTTTTATAACTACTACAAATCAAACTTATTCCCAAATCTGTACAAAAATATTCAAATAGTAATAATAATAATAATAATAGTAATAACAATAATAATGATAATAATAATACTCTGAGAGTAGGTGGTCAATTCCTGGGATTACTATATGTTTAATACGATCCCGGGTCCCGTTTTTCTTTAGGCGATCCTGGGATTTTCCCCCCACCATAAAAAACGAACAGAAATAAAAAAATATAGCCTTACCTTTTATTTAACTTATTTTCTTGTCAATCACATGTTTTCAAATATTTAAAGGGACTCCACTGAGGTTTAAAAGCCTAAAAACATAACAATTGAGATTCATAAATGAGCTGCAGCACTATAAACAGGAATATAATTATGCAAATAAAGTTAAGAAATTAGTCTCAATATTTCGACTGCAAGACTGACTGATTTTATAATCTGATTTTTCATAGATATCTGTCTTTACGAAGGGCGACCATCGTATATATAATAAAAAGCCCTTAAGTGCACAATTTGTTGGGCTATTCCAGGAGATTGCCATAAACTCCCATCAAAAATTATATTCACTTTAAAATTTTACTATTTTACAGGAATACTCTTCTCATCTTGCGTAGACACAAATCATGAGCAAAGCAAAGGATGGTTCCGCATATCAAAGAGTAAAAAAAAGATCGGAAGGAATGAGTGGCTCTGAAGATTTCACTGACAAACAGAATCTCTTAAATGGTGAAAAATCAGCGTCCAATATGGAAACTAAACACAAGGAAATTACAATACTTGGATGGTCTTTAAATAGAGTGATTTTAATCACACATCTGAACATTTTCCTGTATTCAGCTTGTTTTTGGATACAAACAGGAACTCTCCCAGTATGTTGTATGATTCTTTATTTTGTCAATAATATTTATTACATTTTTTCCTGACTGCATTTTAGACTGGCTATAAAATAAAGCTTAATGCATGAAATGAATAATATTTGATACACTTAATTTGTAAGAGACCTCAGCCACTTGATTTTGCTAATTGCTCATTTTGGAAATAAAAAAAAAGCTGGTTTAAGTTCAGATTTTGTAAAATTGCATGATTTGAAAGAAAATTTCAATGGGGGAAGAGGCCTTTAATAGGCCTCTGACAATTGTAAAACTTTTACTAAAAGGAGGGGGAAAAACACACTGTATTCTAAACTGCTCCCTGTTACCGTATTTTAGTATTTGAAATTAAAGAAACAGAATATAACATTCCCAAATAAAGTACATGCATGATTGCTATGTTTAGTACAATGAAGTAGGCTTTATCATTATAACTTTATGCACACACCACATGATTTACCTGAACATTTTAGACATCATTCTTTCAATTTACTCAGTTTGCATGATTGTGAACAGAACACAAGCCGAGGTTCCACTGATTACAGACAGACACAGACAGACAAGGCAGACATTCCAATATTATAAGTTTTATATCTTTAATAATTGTGGCAAATAATTTTGGAAAACTATAAAAGCATTTTGATCAAATATTCATCCCAACTGGCTATAGTAACAAAGCTGTTATCGAGGAAAATGAAAAATGATGACGGTTAAGAATTGTTTGGGAAGTAGATAGTTGATAGATAAACCTTGCTTAAATATTGCTTCAGAAATTTATCAAAATAATGTGTTCAATAACACTTCAATGTATACTTATGATGAAATTATCAGTTTTATTTTTCAGTATCTCTCTAAAAAGCTGGGAGTAAATGCAGTATGGTTTGGATACCTACAGACAACATTTGCTGTTGTGCAGTTGGCTGGGGGCCCGCTGTATGGGAGATTTGGGGACATATTCGGGAGTCGGGCGGCAATGACCTTGGCCTTTGTTTCTGCTGCGTTATCATATCTGCTGTTGTCAGTATCAACATCTGTTCCAATACTCTTCTTGTCACGACTGCCCTCCGTGTTCATGCATGCAATGCAAGGTATTACTATTTATACAAAAAAGGAAGAAATGTCCTTATTATGAAAAAAAAACCCAAAGACCTCTTCTCACTGTGCTTAGGTAATTAAATTTTATGATGAAACAGCTACGGGCTTGAAATTGAGTTACATGTGTCTAATTGTTTAATAATGCGAGTAAAGTATCCAGTTAGCATATGGTGTAGGTCAGTGTCCTAACAGTTAGTGTCAGAAATAAGAAGGGCCTTTTTGATAACTTCAGATATACTAATTATTTGACTTTATTATTTTTAAATTTAAATGTAATACATTTAATATACTAGTATAGTTTAACTGTTTTGATTGTTTAGAATGATATAGAATGAATGTTCTCCTTTATTAGATCCTCTATTTTACAGGTGGACAGATGATAGTTACTGATTTGGGGGATTCTGGGAAACGTGCAGATGCCCTCGGAAAGTTAGGGTTATCCTACGGCATAGGGATGGTGATTGGTCCCGTTGTAGGGGGTCTCATTACAAAATTTCTAGGGTAAGATTTTGCTGAATAAAACTGAATATATAAATAACAATTGCTTTTGCTATTAAAGATAGGAACTTCATCTTTAATACATTTATGATAGATGAAATGAAAAGCTGCATCCCTAAGTATCTGTCTGTATTTTTTTAGAAAATAAGTTCTAAAAAAACAAAATTATTACTCTCATTTATTAGATTATTAGAACTCCTGTATTAAAAAAATAAAATAAAATGACAGGATAATTGTTTACTGTTGATTCAACATCATATTTGTGTATATTACAGGTTAGAGTTTGCCGCGTTTGTTGCATTTTTGGGGTCAGTGTTCAGTATATGTTTAGTTTTAACATTTGTGCCAAAACAGACCAAAAAAGTACAAGTTCAAGGTTAGTAGTAAGTGAATAAATATTTATTGAATGAGAAAAAAAGTATGTGTAATTCTTGGTTATATGTGTAATTCTGTGGTTATATGTGTAATTCTGTAGTTAAGTGTAATTCTCTGGTTATATGAGTAATTCTATGGTTATATGTGTGGTTATATGAGTAATTCTATGGTTATATGTGTGGTTATATGAGTAATTCTATGGTTATATGTGTAATTATGTGGTTTAATGTGTAATTCTGTAATTATATATGTAATTAAATACATGTTCATGTATATGTTTATATCAAGACATTGAGGATGATGTTGATTTCAATATTAAGTATTTCAAAATAAAGTTACTTTCCTTAATTTATTGTGACAAACAGGCAGGTTTGTGTAAAATAATCGAAACTAGCAAATATAAACACATTATATATTTGTCAAAGATATTCATTGGTAGTTTGACTACCGTAAGATGACAAACCTTGCATTTTGGCTTTATTTTACCTTAAAGCAACATGCCTGCAGATTCATGCTAATTTTTATGAAACATTTGAAAATGTATTTAAAAGAAAAATATTATGTAATGAACATAGGAAGTTATTAACATATTTCAAACAGCACTAACAAGCCACTTAAATTAATACCAGAAAAGGTCAAAATATGAAACAAAAGTCCTTAACTGCATCTGTCACGCAGTAGAAATATGGTGATAAATACTACAAAAAACAAGTCCTTAATCCCATATAACATGTTAATTTTTACTTGAATCTTTTTACTTCTCTCAAATTCTTAGCACGTTTTTCTCAAGTTTGATTTTCTTTAAATAGTTTGGCTCATCTGAAGGCATGCAGCTTTAAATAAAGTTAACACAAAAGATCTTTCACATTTTCAAGCGGCAATGGATTGTTAACAATTGATAATGTTTATACAGTGTTCAATTTTGGATATAACCATTAAAGTATTTACCTTTAATACATAGGGATCAAACTTGAACATAATTATGTACAGTTGACTCTCGGTAACTCGAATTTCAAGGGACTGTGCATTTCACTTCGAGAGAAACGGAATTCGAGTAATGTTGATCTGCCGCCATTACATTTACATTTGTACATGTATATACATGTCCAAAGTAGAAGGTTTGTTATTGTTGATAGCGGGAATGCTGCAACATGTAACCGTTGAAATGACGGTTAATCACTTACAACTACAAATTGTAAATGAACAGAAAGATATTATTTAAAGTTCATTAATTTTGAAACATAAACAGAAACATTCGTAGCAATGACATAAATTCAAATCAAGTTGGTCAGTATTCATCAGTAATGATATTAGGCACATGTTTACAATAAGCACTCGTGAAAATTAGTTACTATAGAAGCACCACTAACACATTTATTTAAACATAAGTATGTCTAATACTTGGAGACGTGAATTATTCATCAGACTAAAAGGAAAGTAGCAAATGTCGTGAACTGGAAGTAAATATTTTTGTATGCATATGTAAAATGACGAAACATTAATTATACAAATCTTTCTTTTCTGATGATAACACACATAAATAACTAGGCTATTGTAGGACTAACACCTGTGTCAATTTTCTTAAAGTCACTTTAAAGACGTGTTAAAAATACATGATGACCGACAATTAAAATTACTATTGAACATGTGAAGAAGAATGACAACATCTCTCCTTCATGTCGCCGACCTTTGATCAGTCGGCTGTTTTTCACACTTCGACTAATTGAGATGAAAATATGATGCAGTTTAATTGACGGGACCAAATATTCCTTTCGACAAAACAGGAGTCTCAGTAAGTCAAAATTTGACCTAAGCGGAGTTAAATTACAAAGATAAAGAAGAAAATTTGACGGGACTTTAGAAATTCTTCGACTAATGCGGAATTTTGAGTAAGGCGATTTTGACTTATTGAGAGTCAACTGTATATTTTTTATCATAATAGTTTTGTCTTTCTATAAGGAAATACCGTAGGCGAAAAAATTAGGGACAGCAAAAATATCTCAAAGTATGGTATGTAAATTTGTTATTGTTACAAGCAAACAAGGTTGGGGCATATTAGTATTTATGTTAAAAAAAGGACATTATTTTATATTTTCCAGAAAAAAGTGGTGGTGCATTGTTGGATTGGAGGAAATGGATGTCATTGGTGATGGCACCTGGAGCTTTATTCTTGTTAATTTTAAGGGTAGCAACAGGTAAATACAAGACCAGACAAGGTTTTTGAATGATGAATTATGTAAAAATTATCTGGAAAAGGGGTGATCACTCAACCCAAAATGTATATGATAACTTTATCACTTCTATAAAGATTCTAATTAACCCAGCCTCATTGTTAAAGTTAAACTGTTCATATCCTGTCATTTTTGACTTGCCTATTCAAGTAATAGAAGGGCCATCTTACTTGACTGTGCATAGGCATTGTTGTTGGCGTTTTGGTAACACTTGTGAAAGTTTTGTATGCATCATCAAGTCTACCTAGACTGCATAGATGTATGGCCTAGCTTAGATCTTCACTTACACATAGACAAGTAATTTTAGTTGCTAACTGTGAAAGAGATAAATGATAAAAACATTTTTGTGCCCCCACGTTAGTGGCGGGGATTTTTAGATTTACCCTTGTCCGTCCTTCCGTCCGTCCTTCTGTCTGTCCGTCCGTCCGTTCACTTTTGTGTCGCACGTAACTCAAAATGTATCTGACCTAGAGTCATGAAAAGTTACAGGAATGTTGATCAGCATCTGTAGTTGTGCACCTGGGTATTTTCGTCTGGATATTTTTAGTATTTTCAGAGTTATTGCCCTTGACTTAGTAAAATTTTGCAATTTTCAATTTGTGTCGCATGTAACTCAAAAAGTATTTGACCTAGAGTCATGAAACTTTACAGGAATGTTGATCAGCATGTGTAGTTGTGCACCTGGGTATTTTCGTCTGTATATTTTTAGTATTTTCAGAGTTTTTGCCCTTGACTTAGTAAAATTTTGCAATTTTCAACTTGTGTCGCACGTAGCTCAAAAAGTATTTGACTTAGAGTCATGAAACTTTACAGGAATGTTGTTCAGCATGTGTAGTTGTGCACCTGTGTATTTTTGTGGTGCTTTATTTATTATGTTTAGAGTTATTGTCCTGGATTTAGTAAAAATTTGCAATTTTCAACTTGTGTCACACGTAACTCAAAACGTATTTGACCTAGAGTCATGAAACTTTACAGGAATGTTAATCAGCATGTGTAGTTGTGCACCTGGATATTTTCGTCTGGATATTATTAGTATTTTCAGAGTTATTGCCCTTCACTTAGAAAATTTTTGCAATTTTCAACTTGTGTCGCAAGTTTCTCAAAAAGTATTTGACATAGTCATTAAACCTTATGGGCAGGTTGCTCAGCATATTTTAGATTTGCACCTGGGGTTTCGCTTGTGGATTTATCCAGTATTTGTAGAGTTATTTCCCTTGACTTAGTAAAAAGATTGACAGAACAGTGGCGAGGTGGGGGCACCCGTGTCCTATGGACACATTTCTAGTTTCTTGTAATTATTTTCCAGGAATTCCTATTGGAATATTCCAGAGTATGTTTCAAGTTGTGGCCTTGGAAACATTTAATTTGCCAGCTGATCAAAATGGGTATTTAATGGCTTATATAGGAATTCTTTCAATGGTATGTATAATTTGGTTTAAACATATTTGTTTATTCAACAAAACATTTAAAGGGAGTCCACTGAGGTTTTTTGAAATGATGGGACTGAAAATATTTTTTCCAGATAATTGTACCATTTGATGTAGGTTTAGACCACTAATCTTTGTGCAAAATTTCAGATCATTCGCGCACACCATTTTTCCAGAATAATTATTCAAATTGTAAAAAACTGACCCAAACTGAAAAGCGTTTAAACGCTTTTCACTCAAATTAGGCTAAGAAAAGCATAAAAATACGATTTTCAATTTATTTCAAAGTATATTTCTTAACTATTTTTGCATATATTACTGTTTAAAGTGCCCCAGCTCATTTATGTAAGAAATTCAAATGTTATGTTTTTAGACTTTTAAACCTCAGTGGAGTCCCTTTAACAAGTGAACAATATTTACAAACTACATTTTGGGATTGGACAGAAAGCTATAAAGCTTATGAGTGTTGTATAATTTGAAGAGTTATTTCACTCAGGAGAGTTATGTCAAAAGTAATTAAGTTAAAGGACACATATGTCAGAAAAATGTTTCTGTGGTGACACTTCTTGATGCAATTTATTGCCTTTAACACTTACAATTCTAAATGTTTTATTGTTCCTGTAACACAATTTTTTTATGGTTTTAAATCATAAATATGATGCTCAAATTAAGATTTATCAATATTGTAGGTTCAAAAAGCATTATTTATAAAGATATTACCGAATTTAACATTTCATGTAAATAAAGGGAGGTAATAAAAAATTTTCTATAAAGTTTAAGTCAAATTTTGCATATATTTTAATGATTACATATGATATGCACAAATATTTGCAGTACATATTTTACATATTCTTTGATGTTTTAAAATTGTTTTATTTGCATAATTATGTACATATATATTATTTCACTTAGTGTGGTTAACCACTTTGATCACAACATACAGGATCTTTAATTATTTATTGAAATTGATGATATTAATTTTAAGCTCCACTTTTACTGCGGTGTTGGTATTTGTAGTTAACCCTCCCAATCACAGCACAGTTTAGCCACCACTTTGCTCCTATGTAGGTTGTTAAGCAGTTTACCAGTACTAGTTGCCTTCATTTTGGCAAGGAATTGATACTAGTATTTCTTCTGTACATGCTGGAGCAGAAATACAGTATGAATGACCATAGAAAGGAGTTAATGATCAATCACATTAAAAGTGACATGCATCAATGGGGAATCAAACATAGGTTGCCTGATTTACAGTCCAATCCTTTACCGATTTAGCTAACCAGATTGTTTACCAATCTTCATTAACTAGCTGGCACCTTAAGTAATTATCCATTGCAACCAGTATACAGCCAGGCTAGCTTGCACACATCATGAGTTTACTGGACGGTGCCAGAATGTATAATGCTGCTGTACCTGTAAAGAATATTGAAGGAGTGTGGTGTTTTGATTGGTTGAATGGTGTATAGATCTATGTTGATTATGTAAAGATTCCCACAAGTCTACAGGGCTAGTTTGAATACTGTATAATAAGTGTTTAATTTTGCGATGTGGAAATATTTGCGATTTTTGCTAATTGAAATTATGTGCAAATATTTGATCGTGCAAAAATTATTTCTTTTTAGGCAAACTTTCTTCTATCATTTGAAAACACTTTTTCATACTGCATCTTAATTAAATGAATAAAGTTTACTGTTCAGGTACTGAGATTTTTTTCTTTTCATTGCTTGTTTGTTTAGGTTTGGAGAAATCACAGATGTTTTATTGAAACAATATATGTGTAAATAACACAACAGGTTGTTCATATAACAAAATAATGTTTCAATATATAACAAAGAAATGTGTGATCAGGTCCTTTATCAAACTATAAATGTATATTTTAAACAATGATATAAATAATAAAAGTATTAAACAACTGAATAGACCGATTACAATAACAGAATATTCTTAACATGTACTTGCCTAATTGATGATATCACAAAAACAGTATTAAATTCAAGAAATCATACTTTCGCAAATATTTCGGCACGCAAAAAGTAATTCCCAAAAATTTTGTGACGCATAAATATCCACTTATATACATGTAGTAGAACTTTACCTAGTCAACAGAAGTGATACAATCCACAAGATGAGCATTCTCTTCTGTAAATTTTGGATAAAACTGAAGTAATTTTCTTTTAAAACTGTACTGTTCTGATCACTAGTGGCCAATATCTATGCAACTTATTATAAGGGATCTTACTTTATATTACAGATAGTTCAAGGTGTTGGAGTTGGTGTAGTATTGAAGAAAGTTAGTGAAAATGCAATCATGAAATGGGCATCATTCTTGTTAGTGTGGTCATACCTAAGTCTTGTAAGTAAATCTTTGTTGTTGTTTTTTTTTGGTGGTGATGGGCTTTTATGTACATAGTTCTGAATGGGAAGATAACTATTGAGCTAAAAAAACAAATTTGATTAATAGCTATATCACAAACTCTGTGTAATCAAATATCTGGAAAAAATCCTTCAGGGAAACATTAAAAAAACAAAAACAAAAACATTCCCTTTTTTAAAAAATTGCAATTTTTTCAATTTTTTTTTTTAAAAAATTAATTGGGGAAAGGGAAATTTTAAAGTTTCAAAAAAAACAATTTAAAATTAAACCCCGTTTGGTTTGGGGGGGGGGGGGGGTTTTTTTAAAAAAAAAAAATTAAAAATTTTTTATCCAAAAAATTTTAAAAAAAGTTTTTAAAAAGCCAAATGAAAAAAAAAATTTTTTTTTTCCCAAATTTCTAAAATTAAAAGAAAAAAACTTGCCGATTTTTTTCCAAAGCAAAAAAAAAAAAATTCTTCCTTTTTTTTTAAAAAATGACCAAAAAAAAATTAAAAAGGTGGCACTGTAATAAAAAAATTTTAAAAAAAGTAAAGTTTAAAAATTGTTTTGAGATATTTTAAAAAATTTTTTTAACCATTTGGGAAATTGTCTCTTTTTAAATCATAATGTATATACCCCTAGTACCAAACTTTGTTTAGGGAATTTCCCATCCATAAATTAATTCCAAATTTGGTCTGCACATTTAAAAAAAAATTATTTTAATTTTTTTAAAAACCTGCTTTAAACCCCAAAGTGATAAAATGGAAAACAAAAATTTTAAATTGTTTGGATTTTTTTCTTTTAAACCCTTTTGGGAAAATTGGCTTTTTTCCCGTGGGGGCCTTTTAAATGGCAAATGAAAAAAAACCCCCCTTTAATTATCTTTTTTAGCACCACCACCAAAAAATTTTCTATTAGCTGACCATGGATTTTTTATTTTAGCTGGTCTTAACTTTTAATTTTGAATTTCCCAAAATTTCCCCTGTGCCACGTTTTTGAAATGTTTCCCAAAATTTAAAAAATTAATTTCCCATTTTTTTAAAAACCAAATTCATATTTACCCTTTTTGGACATTTCATCCCTTTAAAAAATTGCCTTTTTGCTCCAAATTATTAAATATTAAAAAAAAAAATTAATTTAAACGTCCAATGTGCTTTAAATTTTTCCTTTTTAAATTAAAAGAAATTTATTTAATTAAATCAAAATCAAATATAGAAAATAACCACTTTTAAAAATTAAAATTGCATATGTTTTTTCCCAAACTTATAAAGGTCAGGGAAAAATTTTACCTAGGAATTAAAATCAGTAGCAAAACTTGCTACACGTTTGGGCACAAACCACTGACCCCTCGAAAAAGGTTCTACCACTGTTTTATTAGCTGAAGTTATCCAAAGGTATCACAGAAAACCCCTGGTTTTTCATCGGGGTGTCCCGTTAAAGGGCCCGTGACTCAAAATAGGATGGAAAGGAAAAAACAAGGTTTTTTCCCTTTACCCCTTGAAGCTTAACAAATTTAAACCAAAAAGAAAGTTTTTTAAAATTGTTCCTTAAATTTTAATAAATCCCCTTAAAAAAGAAAAAAAGAAAAATTTTGGAAAAAAGACTTTTTGTCACCAGGGTTCTAAAATTTTTAGGAAGGGAAAATTAAAAACGCCAAAAACTTTTTCCCCCGGGAAATTTTAAAAATTTAAAAAAAAAATAGACTTTGTGGGAAAAGGGGCTGAAAACATTATTTTGGGAATAAATTGTAGCCCAACCCCCTTTGCCCTATATGGAACATGTTTTTCCCTTTGTTTTTTAAACAAAAAATATTCCCATTTCAAAGTTTACTAAAAAAAGTTGGCCAAAATAAAGATTAAAAATAAAAAAAAAAACCAAAGGGAAAAAGTTTCAAAACAAATTGTACAAAATTCATTTCAATAAAAACTTCACTAATTTTTAATTAAAATTTTGTTTTAAAAAAAGGCAAAAATAATTCTTTTTTTTTAAAATTTCCCTTTACCATTTTTTTAAGTTTTAAAAGTGCCCTTTAATTTTTATTTAAATTTTGGGTTTTTTAAAATCTTTTTTTTATTTTTAATTTTAAATTTTTTTGATAAATTTACAGGGGTATGCTGGGGTTTAAAAAAAGGCAAAAAAAATTTTTACTAAAAACGAAAATGTTTCACCACAATTGGTTAAACATGCTGGAGGGAAACCCGGTTTTTCATCTTTTGGTTTTCCTTGGGTTCCCTTTATCTGGGATTTTTACGCAAAAAGGGTTTTTGTAAATTCCGAAAACCCAAAAAATGACATTAACCCTTTTCTCTGTTTTTGTATTTTTCAATGGGATTTTAAAAAAAAAGTGGGCATACAAATACTTTTAAATTGTTTTTTAATTTTAAAATTTTTTTTTAAAGCAGCATTTTTGCCCAAAATAAGGGGGCAATTTTTTTTTAAAAAATTTAAAAATTTAAAATTTCCCCCCCCTTTTTCCTCAAAAAATAAGGGGATTCTTGGGCCCCCGAAATAATTTTTAAAAACCTTTTTTAATTTAAAAAGGAATTTTAAAGTTTAGATGCCTTTTATTGCAGAAAATCAGTGTTATTGTTTAAAAAAATTGGGCAAAAAAAACAAGCAAAATATGGGAAAAAAGGATTTTGTCTTCAAAACAAAAAATTCAGTTCCTCTTTTATTAAACCATAAACTTTATGAAATATTTATAAAATTTTTTAAAACAGTTAAAATTCATTTTTTTTATATTAAAACCCCAATAAAATTTTATCTTAAAAAAATTTGTAACAATTGTTTTATGTATATTTTTTTAAATATTTTTGGGGATTGTTTAAAAAACAGAAAAAAAATATTTTGTAATTTTAGCAGGTTTTGGGGTTATTTCATTAAAAATTTGGAAAATTTTTAAGGTCTGCCATTTGGTTTTGGGCAATGCTTTTTACGTCAATCCCCCAAAAAAATTTAAACAGTTTTCCCCAAAACCCTTAAAAAATAAAAAAAGCCCAAAATTTTTTAGGAAAGTGCTTAATGAATTTTTATTTTGGGGTAATCCAAATTTATAACATTGTTATTTTAAAAAATTTGGGATTTATGTATTTTTTCTTTTTTTTTTTTATTTCAAATTTTGAAACATGGTTTTAATTTACACCCCATTCCAAAATTCATGGCCCCTTAAAAAAATTAAAAAGGGCTAGTTTTATTATTTATCCCCGATTTTTGAATTTTAATGAATTTAATTTGTATTATCAAAAAAAAGGGAAAACAAAACAAAGAACATCTATATTTTTTATATACATGCACTGGCTTTATAATATTTTTTTCTTCATTTTATAAATAGTTTTTAAAGGCAAACAACTTTTTTACATGTCTTTTAGAGTACCTGTTAGAAACAAAAGTCACCAGTTTATGATTATGTCGTCTTTTTGTGTCGCCTCTACGGAGTAGTGGCGACATATAGGGATCACTTCTCCGTCGTCTGTCTGTCCGTCTGTCCGTCTGTCTGTCTGTCTGTCTGTCCGTCTGTCCATCCGTCCGTCACAAAACTTGTCCGGACTACTGCTCATAAACTACTGGTGCAATTTCATCCAAACTTTACAGGAATGATCAGTACCAAGTCTAGTTGTGCATATTGTCAGCATTTTCCGGTTCAATGATTTTTGTCAGAGTTATGGCCCTTTAATAATTTTTATTTTTAAAGTTTGTCCGGACTACTTCTCTTATACCACTAATGCAATTTCAATGAAACTTTACAGGATTGATCTATAGCTCAAGTCCTTGCGCATATTGCACGGGTTTTCCGGTTGAATGATTTTTGGCCGAGTTATGGCCCTTTGACAAAAAGGTCTTTTTTTCTGTGTGTTGCCACATACGCAAAAGCTTGTCCGGACTACTCCTCATAAACTACTGGTGCAATTTTATCCAAACTTTACAGGAATGATCAGTACCAAGTCTAGTTGTGCACTGTTCGTCTGTCTGTCTGTCACAAAACTTGTCCCAACATGAAATTGGCCATCATGAGGCGACACATGTGATTACTGATCGCTCTTGTTTGGAATTTATTTTCATGTTTTAGTAGCAGACTATAGAAAGTACAGGTGTTGTTTTGAACTACAGTTTACAGTATAACCAGGCTGTATATTGTTTGCTGACAAAATTTTCATCTTGATATCCCTCAAATTTATATTTGACTGTCCCAAAATAAGAAGCCAAACTAGTCAATTTAAGAAATTCAGCAGATTAAACATGATGTTATTGGTCAGGTGTTATTTATTTATGCAAATATTACATTGAAGTGTATCAATTACTACTAGGTTTCTCTCGTTTTATGACCAAGATTTACATGAAATGTAAGAGGGATTATCCTAACATACTGTAATTTCTAGAAATTGAAGAAAAACATTTTTGTGTGTGAGTAAAATTGTTAAGTACAAATTGATAGATGAGTTAGAAATTAATAAAGGGAAGTTATTTATATAAGCAATAAAAAGCATACACTCCTGGCACCTGTTACATCTAGCTTTGCTACTTTAATCTCTGCCATTACTATAGAACATTTATACACATTTATGAAAGTGAAAAAGCTGCCTTCTTATTTTCTTCGTTATTGTCATGAAATATTCTTTTTAGCTCACCTGTCACAAAGTGACAGGGTGAGCTTTTGTGATCGCTTTTCGTCCGGCGTCCGTCCGGCGTCCGTCCGTCCGTCCGTAAACTTTTACTTTAAATGACATCTCCTCATAAACCACTAAGCCAATTTCATCCAAACTTCACAGGAATGTTCCTTTGGTGGTCACCTTAGAAAATTGTTCAAAGAATTTAATTCCATGCAGAACTCTGGTTGCCATGGCAACCAAAAGAAAAAACTTTAAATATCTTCTTCTAAAAAACCCAAAGAGCTAGAGCTTAGATATTTGGCATGAAACATCTTCTAGTGAGTGTCTACCAAGTTTGTTCAAATAAAAGCCCTGGGGTCAAAATTGGCCCCGCCCCAGGGGGTCATTGATTTT